AAAAAAAAAAAAAAAAAAGTCAGAAGCTATCAGCCTCTGGTTAAGAAAAACAAATCAGTCATCCTATATAAAACATTATTAGTAAAACAAGAAAGTATTTCATTCTAAAAAGTGTATTATTATGTATTATTAGAAATTATTAACAAGACATAAAAATCTGGTTCAAGAAAGGCAGGTATATGGTCCTCATCTTTAAAAAGTTTATAACAATTGGGCAGTGCCTATGGCTCAAAGGAGTAGGGCGCCAGCCCCACAGGCTGGAGGTGGCAGGTTCAGACCCAGCCCTGGCCAAAAACTGCAAAAAAAAAGTTTATAACAATTAGGTGAAAAATTCAAAACGACCTAATATATTTGAGTTCTATTATGGCACTTTAACCTGATTACACTTACACACTATTTAAAGCAACTTCTCAAAATAATAAAAGCTATAGCTTTTCATATTAGCTCTCACTAACATATGCTAACTGTAGCTGTTTCCTCAACACAAAAAATTACTGAGATTTTTAATTTGTTTATATTTTAATTTGTCCTTATTTAAAGCACTTATATCTATCACACCCATGTGCACAGGAGAGTAATAAACACTCACTATCTTATTAGTAAGTCCCTCATTAGGGAAGTAAAGAAAACTGTCAACTCATTCCTCTAAAGTAAACATGTTATGACAACATTTCCTGGAGCTTTCCTTTCATTGAATCCTAAATTTAAGGCTTGGAATAGAAAACAAGTGTGATAAACACCAAAATGAAAGCATCCCTAGAGGTTAGCCTTTTATTACAGTATCTGATTATAACTTCTATACCCAATTAAAATTGTATCCCTATAACCACCACTGGTTTTGTTTTCAAACAAGAATAAGCAACATGTAAGTTAACCACAAAACAACAATCACCAGTGCTCAAAGGTGTTTTCAGGACGATATAGAGAACATTTTAAATTATGCGAAGAGCTTTACAAATGAAGAGAAGCATTTACAAATAACAATAATATAGAAACCTAATAATACACTAAAAGCCTAATTAAAAATAGGCAGATTAAAAAATGATCAATATACTCACAAAAAGATGTTCATCATCGTGAGTCATGAGGGAAATGCAAATCAAAAGCGCATTGAGAAAGCACTTCACACCTAACAGAATGGCTATAATCAAAAACACAGCCAATACCAAGTGTTGGCAGGGATGCAGAGAAACTAGAACCCTCATACGCTGCTGGTGGGAATGGAAAATGATGCCGCCGCTTTGGAAAATTCCTGCAATTAGTTCCTCAATGGAGTTAACATATGACCCAGAAATTCGACTCCAGGTATATACCCAGAGAAATGAAAACATAGGTCCACACAAAAATCTGTACACAAATGTTCATAGCAGCATGAGTCATAATACCTGGAAAGTGGAAACAACCCAAATATCCATCAACTGATGGCTGGATAAATAAAGTGTGGCACATCCACACAATGGAATATCATTTGGCAATAAAAAAAATGAAGAGGCCAGACAGTGGCTCATGCCCGTAATCTTAGCACTTTAGGAGGCTGTGGCAGGAGGATCACTTGAGGCTACAAGTTGGAAACCGGTCCTAGCAACATTGAGACCCATTCTCTACAAAAAATTTAAAAATTAGCTGGGTATGGCGACATGTGCTTAAAGTCCCAGCTACTTGGGAGCTGAGGCAGGAATTTGAGGTTGCAGTGAGCTATGATGACACCACGGCACTCTAGCCCCAGCAACAGAGTGAGATCTGTTAATTAATTTAAAAAAGAAGAACAGGGCATATTCAAAGGAAATGCTCATTGGAGCCTTTTGGATTTTAGATTAGGCTCAACTGTAACTGCAAATATTTCAATGTATTTCTTAAAAATCCAAAATCTAAAACACTTCTGGTCCCAAGCATTTCAAATAAGGTCTATTTAACTCAGGCATGCTCTAACATGGATAAACCTTGAAAACATTATGGTCAGTGAAATAAGACATTCACAAATGACAATATATTCGGTTATGTTTATATGAAACACCCAGAATACACAAATGTATGGAGACAAAAATAGATTAGTAGTTACTTAAGAGTTTGGAAGTTTGGGGGGGAAATGGGAGGTGACTGCTAATGGGTACAGATTTCTTTTGGGGGGAATGCAAATGTCCTAAAATTAATTGTGGTAAGAGTTGCACAGCTCATCAATATACTAAAAACCACTGAATTAAATTGCACAGTATGTAAGTTATGTATCAATAAAACTGTTTTAAAATTTAAACAAACCAACACATAAAGTTCTACATAAAACTTGGGGAAAAACACAGTACATATTTCTTAAATCATAATCACCGCCCTGGAACGTATCATTACCATATTTAGTATGAAATGTAGATAGAGTCAAAAGGTATCGGGAAAGTCATATTTGTGGAATCAATTCTACTGGGAAAGAGACTGAGAAGAAAAGGCTAACGTAATATCCTAAACTTACAGTTATTAAACAGTCAGCTTAGATGCTTTTTATTTGTGAGGCATACTAGTTGGAATGGATGGGGGCGGGTCACAAAAAGTCCTTCCTCCTAACACAAGTAAGAAAAGCAGTGTATAAATAAAATGTAAAGGTAATACTAGCGCCCATTAGGTCATTTTAAATGGAAGTGATCCTAACAAATAACAAATTAACAAGGGTCTAAAGCCTGCAATAACTGCTTTGTCTACTTCTCTAAAATTTACTTTTAACTTGAGAGAAAACTTCAGCAATTCCTTTTAATTTGTGATAAAGGTCTGGGCTGGAGCCTGAGCTGAAGGAATAAAGTGTTTGGTGTTCTAACTAAATACAGACAGTAATCCTTATAAAATAAGGTCACATTAAGTTTATATATTTCACTATTAGTTTGCATCTTCTTTAGATGGAAGAATTTTCCTGGCCTGACGACTAATTTTATGAAAATCTTATTGTTCAGAAAGCCACTTAAAAGTAAACAGCAAAAGCCAAATGTAGCTCAGAATATGATCTTCACAAGCTCTAATTAAGTCCCAATTAATTCTGTTGTTACATTTCCCTTCATTTTTCCTAACACATCTGTCGGAGAATTTCAGTGGATTAAGAACTAGGAGCACTGGTCTCCAACACTAGTCTTGTAACTGTTTTCCTCAGTAACTTCAACAAATTGAAGAATTTCTAATCAACTGAAAGTTTGCACTTTTTTTAGAAGAGGGATAATGGAAGATGTATCCTGTATCACTGGGCCAACAGACATGAAATTCAGGGGGAAAGAGAAAAAAACAAAACAAAACAAATTACAGTACCATAAGGTAAACAGCAGTTTAGATTTCAATTAGAACAGACATGGAGAGGGAACAGCTGTCATTATTATTTCACTGTTTACTTGTAATACTACTTTCATATTCTTTTTCAAATCTTTGATAAATGAAAGGCAGATGGCGGCTAAAAATCCTGGGGTTGTGCAACATTAAGTAGAAAGTAAATGAAAACAGACTTCAATAAGTCAGTTTTTAAAAAAATATATAACTGGCTCAGAGCCCATAGCTCGGTGAGAAAGGTGCCAGCACATACACCGAGGCTGGCAGGTTCAAGCCTGGCCCGGGGCCTGCTAAACAATGACAACTGCAACCAAAAAACAGCCGGCTATTGTGGCGGGTGCCTGTAGTCCCAGCTACTTGGGAGGCTGAGGAAAGGGAATCGCTTAAGCCCAAGAGTTTGAGGTTGCTGTCAGCTGTGACGCCACAGCACTCTACCGAGGGCAATAAAGTGAGACTGTCTCAAAAAGAAATCTAACAAAATGAGCAAAGACTCATCACTTAATGTAGTTCTTATCTCTGCTCCTGCCAATTCCACTCCAGTAGTGTCCTCACCAATTCACACAAAGTAGCTACTCGCTGAACAACAGCTCCACAGTGCCCCCCTACCCCAAATTTTGTTCATAACATTCAGATTGTTGACTTGTGTCAGAGTCCTTTGCTTCCTAACAGCTTTTTTTTTTTTTATTGTTGGGGATTCATTGAGGGTACAAGAAACCAGGTTATATTGATTGCCTTTGTAAGGTAAAGTTTCTCTTAGACAATTGTGTCTTGCCCCTAAAAGGTGTGTCACACACCAAGACACCCGCCCCCCACCCTTTCTTTCTCTCCCTAGCAGCTTTTTTCATTGGAGACCTTAGAAGTGGGGCCCAAGCTGCTTTGGTCCATCTGTTCTACTGAGTGCTCCCTATCCTTATTGGGGAAAGATGTCCTCCAGTTTGTCAATCATTTTACCATTCTATTTCTAGCATATTCTTATTACCGTTTTAGCCCAACACTGGGTTTGAATGGCTGAAGTTTGGAGCTCCTACTATAGTGTGACCAACTTTCACGTTATTGGCTTATACAGTATTTGCTAAAAGTTGCTATCTCAATGTTATATAACGCTTGCTCTCTATCCAACTATCCCTAACTCCTGGAGAAATTATTTTTTTAATCTCCCAGCTTCCATTACTACTTTCTCCTACTCTGTAAACTTTCTACACATGCATCCACCTTGTCAACTAACGAAACTGGGGTGAAAGGGAGGAAGCACTTGAAGTAGGTAATGAGGGACAGTGGTGTTGTTTGCATGGTTGGTCTCCAGGGCAGTCCCAGCAACAAAGTATGGCCTCAGCGTAGCATGTTTAGTGGAGGAGGCACTGTTCCCCTACTCCCCAACCTCAGGAAAAAATCAGGAAGATAAAGCAGGGCGATTACACGGAAAACACTAGCATGTATCTCGTTCCTTGGCCTCTTCCAAGACCTGGTGTAAAGGGCAAAAGCTCCTGAGTTGGGAACTTAATGGGAAGGTGGGGGAAAGGAGGAATAATGGAATTGCTGTGTGTCTGCCTAGGCAGAAAAGGAAAGGAAAGGTGGCTGGTGCACAGCACAGCTCTGGGGGCTACTGCAGATGAAAAGAGAGGGCAGAATGGGTGGCCTGCCCAGATCGTTACCCCAAGAGACAAGGCCGGCACAGTTGTCACCCCAACTCTGGGCCCGGCCACTCTAGCATTTCCAAGAGTCGGTTCCTCCCCGGGGCGCGCGCCGACGTACCCACCCGGGTCCCGGCACTCACCCCTGCGGTCTCCTCTGCAGAACATTCCAGCAAACTCTGGTCGATGGCCTGCACGTCGGTCTCCAACTCCGACGCCATCTTCTCTCTTCCTCCCCGATGCTCCCGCTGCGACCGCCGCTCCAAGCGCCGCAGCCTCGCCTTGGCCGGAGCCGCCGCGACTGCCACCCCTGCCCTGGCAGTCCGTCCCGGACCCGTCCAGGCGGCTGCGGGCGGAGCAAAAGAGGGACCTAAGGGGACGTGCGCTGGACAGAAGGGACGGCGGCCTTCTGCACTCCCTCCCGGGCTGAGTGCCCAAGACTCAAGTCACTGACTTGTCCCTGACCCGGGGAAGGACACAGAAAGCCCTAGGCCTGGCACGGTCGCTAGCCACTGCCGTGTCCCGCACCGGGAAAGGGGCGATAACACCCAGGAGGGGAAGCTGCGCCTTCTGGGTACTGTAGTCGTCCCCGGCACAGCCGGGAGGAAGCGGGTGCCCTTGCACGGAGCCCCATGGAGGCATTGTGGGAGTTGTAGTTCACCTCCTACCGGGAGCTGAGGATGTGGCAGCTCGGGGCGGGGCGCGCTGGGCCGCCGGAACGGTGGGAAGAGACTACTGGGAAAGAAGCGCCCGGGGGAAAACCGAGGAGCAATATATTGTGGGAACTGTAGTTTTCCCCCTAATTTCATTTGTTCATTTTTACATCTCCAGCCACAGGGACAATGCCTGGCACGTGATAGACACTCAAGTATTTGTCAAAGTCAGGCATATGATAGGCGCTCAAATACTTGTTAAAAGAATGAATGAGTTACGTTCTATGTCCTGTCATCTGGACGCTTATTGTATTACAAATCTTGCTGCAAAGGAGAGGACTCTATCAGGCACATTCAAAGATTTACACTTGATAGCGACCGTTTATAGAAATAGATAATCATTGTTAGGCTAGATACCACATAAAATTATGTTTAGTTAATAGTAATTGGACTCTTGACTAACAGTTGGGTGACTGGGCTTCTTAGAACAAATCTTCAGTCTCTTTAGAGTTTGTCGGAAAATTGCTTATACATTTTATCAAGATGTATTAATTAATTCCTAGAAGGAGGTTGTGAATTACATATAGAAAAAAAATGTTCTGACCCAGACCAGGTTTGAAACTTGTTTATGATTACTCTGTGTGTGTGTGTTTTAACAATCCTATAACATTAACCAGGTTTTTTAAAAAAGGAAATTTAGGTACCATAACCTCACAGTTCAATTAAGCCATGTTATCACTTTTAAAATTAAAATTAGTAACTGTGTATGTATAAAATCAGAAATTCAAACTCAAAGGGAATGTTTCAAAAAAGGAAAACTGAAAATTATCCATTCCCCTTACCCTACTTTCTCCTCAAACAAAATCATTTATAACATTTTCTTGTGATTCTGTCCAGGAAAAAAAGTATGCATGTATCAGCACAGATTTCTATAATGAGATATCTTGAAGTCTTTTTCTATGTATAGCTTTATTTTTTATCCAACTTCCTTGTTGCTGATCCACTCAGAGATCAGAGTCAACCTGGAGAAAACTGGGATCAGTTTCCTTTCTCTTAAGGAGTAAAGCATAAAATGTAAGCCATTAAAATACATTGTAAAGAAAATTTCTATGCTGGGAGATGAACCCACCTGTAGGATTACACACCTGTAATCCTAGCACTCTGGGAGGCTGAGGTGGGTGGACTGCCTGAGCTCAGGAGTTGGCGACCAACCTGAGCAAGAGCGAGACACCCATCTTTAAATGTGGCAGGCACTGGTGGTCCCAGCTCCTTAGAAGGCTGAGGCAAGAGAATCGGAGTTTGAGGTTGCAGTGAGCTATGATGCCATAACACTCTACCAAGGATGACAAAGTGTCACAAAAAAAAAAAAAAAA